TAATATTGGCAGGTCATGCTTCTAGAGTTAAACGTACCTCTAACTAATAAATCGCTTTTGAGTAAAGACTATATGCATTATGTATATCCAAATAAGCTATGAATACCGTGAAACAAGTTGGCACCCTTAGCTTATGCCTACTGAAATAACGTATTTTTATGATAGTTTTCAAATAAATACTGTAGCTTCTCACAGAAACACAAGGGAAACTTATTTTCAAGTTTTGATTTGAAACTTTGGATAGAGACAGATTTAAACGAGAATACTTCATTCTGAAAGTTTCAGGTCGAAATTTAATAATAATTTTTCTCAGTATTCTTGAAGAAGACTATGGTATTCATTTAAAACCTACCCAGATATTTGTGCTATCTATGTAGCAATAAGCTAAGACTTCGAACTTGTTTTCAGAATATTCAAACTGTAATTTGGGTTTATATGATGCACATAATCTAGATTCAAAAACGATTAATCAATTGGAAGATTTCCTTCGTAAGTCATTTTTAAATGTTAAATCTTTAGTCATTCATCGATGTATTTTTAAAGATAGATGCAAGGTTCAAATAGGTGATTGATCTATCCATCGACTTATCATGTTTTTCCTAAATTCTCAATAAAAAAATTTAATATAAATATTTAAATATAAAGTGGAAAATTTCTACCATTGAAAGTTGAAAAAGATTTCTTTTTTTTTTATTACTTTGACTGCATACGACTCTTTCAAGTCGGTACTTATTGATATTAATTAATACGAATAGTTTACAAATTCTTATTATTTCTAAGTGACATGTATTGCGTCCTAATAGAACAGAATTCTATATAACCTCTTCAATTAGTTAATTAAATACATCGAAAATATCCTTAATCTTAATAATTTTTTTTTCATTGTTGTAACAATTATTTAATGCATTAGTTCAATAGATTTTTCTCCTAGGTATGTCATTAAGATATGCATGACTTTTTCGCTTTCTTATAAAAACAATCTCCTATATCCATTCAATTATCTTCATAATTTCAGCACGTAAAAAAAGGGCTCAAATCATGACAAAGAGGCTTGTTCAAAGCTTTGAAATGAATTTGCTCAATTCTTTATGAAGTTTAATCACAAATAGTTGTCAAGAGCTTGAAAGTACGATCGATCTTTAGTTAGAATCAGTATATAAAATACTACATAAATGTATGAATACTCCTTGTATCTTGTAAATGTTTGATGTATTTCAATAGTAACAGTTATTTCACTTACAATTTTTCTATTCTAGGGTCCAGCTTTTGCTCCAATTGGTATTACAGGTGATCTATATCTTGAAGGTGTAAATAAAACTGAAATAATTATTGAACTTGAAAGTGTTAATCTTGCTTCCTATACTACAGATCATAAAAATTGGCAAGTTGATGTTATGTTGAGTAGTAATAATGATGAATTTACAAGTAAATTAAAATTTGTATTAGAAAATACAACATGGTCATATGAAACTTCAGTAACATTTAATCATAATCTAACAATATCTTTATCAATATCAGATAATCATGTATTAATGTGGTGGCCTAATGGTTATGGTGATCAACCATTATATAAATTAGTTGTTTCAAATCAAGAAAATATAATTGGTTCACGTTTAATTGGTTTTCGTACTGTTCAACTAAAGCAAAATGAATATGAAGCTGGAATAAATGGAACATCATTTTATTTTGCTATTAATTTTCAACCAATATTTATTAAAGGAAGTAATTGGATACCATCAGATTCATTTCAAGAACGTGTTAGTGATGAAAAACTTGAACGTTTACTTCGTTCAGCAAAATTATCTAATATGAATATGTTACGTATTTGGGGTGGTGGAATATATGAACGTAATTCATTTTATGAAATAGCTGATCGTTTAGGTATAATGTTATGGCATGATTTTATGTTTGCTTGTAGTCTGTAAGTTTATTTAAATGATTATTATTATTAATTTAATCTTATATTTAAAAAAAAAAAATTTAGTTATCCTGTTGATGAACCATTTTTAACAAATGTTCATGATGAAATTATTTATCAAGTTAAACGACTTCAATATCATCCATCTATTGTACTTTGGGCAGGTAATAATGAAAATGAAGCTGCCGTTGCTCAAAATTGGTATGGTGTACCAGAAGAAAAAATGAATAAAACAAAAGATGATTATAGAAAATTATATGTTGGTACAGTTATGAATGCTGTTAAACAAGTTGATAAAGGAAATAATCGACCATTTGTTACTTCATCACCATCAAATGGACTTGAAACAATAATTGAAAATTATATTGCTAAAGATCCTCAAGATCCACTTTATGGTATAGATTATAAAAATAGAATTAAGCTTGTTTTCTTTTGAAACGAATTTCTATTTTTCTTAGGTGATGTTCATTTTTATGGATATCATGATGATTCATGGGATCCAACAACATATCCAATAACTCGTTTTCTATCTGAAACCGGTATTCAATCATTACCAAGTTTAGATACATGGTATCAAACTACAACGAATTCATCGAATTTAAAGTTTAATAGTTCATTTCTTTTACATCGTGAACATTCAGAAAATCAATTGACTGAAATGATGTTTGTTATTTTAATTAATCATAAAAATTTGACTTTCATCTTTTTGTATCCTCTAGGAAACATATTGATAGTAATTTACCATTACCAGTAACCAATGATTCATTAAGAAATTTTGCTCAATTAATTTATTTAAGTCAAATACATCAAGCTATGACATTAAAAAGTATAAGTGATCTTTGTCGACTTCATTCATCAGTAGATATGATTAATCCAAAAACAAGTCAAGGGTAAATTTATTTTCTAAAAATATTTTATTTCTTATCATTTCTTTTTTTTTTTCTTAGTCATACGATGGGTTTAATGTATTGGCAAATAAATGACATTTGGCAAGCACCAACATGGGCAACAATTGAATATGGATTAAAATGGAAAATGAGTCATTATTATGTTGGTCATATGTATGCACCTGTTTATCCAATTGCTATGCTTACACCTTATTTAGCTAATGTAACAGATGAAAATGCTCAACTTTCATTTCATGTTGTTAATGAAGTATTAAATAATACATATGGTACATTAATATGTTCAATATATACATTAGATACCTTGACACCTCGTTTATCATTTGGAGATGATATTATATTTAATTTACCTGGTATAGAAAATGTAATGAATTTTCCATATTCAACATTAATGAGACGTACTAATTGTAAAGATAGTTCTCAATGTATAATACATTGTTCATTAAATTATAATGAACATCAAATAGGACAAACTTTATTTTTAAGTCGACCAAAAAATTATCAATTATTTAATCCTAATCTTCAAATTGAAAGTATTAAACAAATATCATCAACAGATTTTAATATAACAATAACTGTTGATCGACCAGCTTTATTTGTATGGCTTGATATAGCAGCTAATATTACTGGTTATTTTTCACGAAATGGATTTAATATGTTTCAACCAAGTACGAGTGTTATTTTTCATTCATGGACATCAATGGAAAATTTTGATAAAGCTAATTTTGATATACGTTATACTTCATTGTTTGATGTTACATTACCATGACTTTTTTTTTCTTTCCTATTTCTTTTTAAAGAAAATAAATAAAATGTAGAAGTATAAAAACTTTTTGTTCTAATTATTAGATCTGAAATTTGCTTTTTCTGATACAAAAAAATGTCTTCTGAACAATTGAATCTTGCTGATTCAATTAAAAAAGTACATCAACAATTACGTCATGATGTAAATCAAAGTATGAATTATGATACAAAAAAACTTGAGAATCTATTGTTATTATTTAATTCTTAGCACCAGAAGCTGCTGAAATGATTTGGAGTGCTCATGTAGCTAATATAGATAAATTGAATGAATATGCAAAATCCATGCGTCAACTTGCTAAACATCATTGGGCAGAAAAAGCTCATGGTCAAACACGTTTAACATGGTGTTATGAAACTATAAAAGATTATTATCATGGAAATGAAATAAGTGGTCTTGAAAGAAAACGTGCTCGAGATAAACGAAAACAGACTTATACAGACATTTGTGAAAACTGTCAAATAAGAATTCAGTAGGATTATTATATTAAGATTATTATTTTTTTATTATTTTTTTAATTTTAAGACAAGGAATTACTAAACCACATGTACTTGATGTTGGGTAAAGGCTAAGAGTTTTCTTAATTTATTTTAAGTTTTTTATTTTAACTTATTTAGGAGTTGTTACAATGCATTTTCTAATTTTACTGATCTCGAAACAATAGCAATTGATATTGCACCAGCTGATGAAGTGAGTTTTAATAGAAGTTTTTTTTTTGTGTTGGAATTATAAAACTCTGTATTAGATTAGTTTAGTCAGTACATCGTATTGATTTTTTACGTCTTCCACAACCACCTTTAATATGTATTCATTCATTTGATGCTATTATTTTTTCACTTGTTCTTGATTATTTACCAACATGTCGTCAACGTCTTTCAGCATGTCTTATTGCTCATCAACTTTTAACTTGTCTTGGTTTATTACTTATTGTCGAACCTGATTCAACTTTAAGGGATAATCGACAAAAATCTTGGCGACAAGCACTTAATTCAATTGGTTATTCTTTAGTATCATATGTTAAAGTAACCAATTTATATTGTATGGCGTTTCGAAAAATAATTCAACAAGTAACAATAAATGAAGATGAATATGAAAAAATATCTCAATTATTTAATATTCCTCAAGATAATATTACTATTGATAATGAATCACAAAAACTTGAACAAAAATCTATTCCTGTTGATCAAGATTTGTTTAATGAACTACCATTTTCATTTGATTAGAAAAAAAAATTGAAATTATTTCATTTGTGCGAGAAAAAAAAACCTACGAATGTAAAAGTAAAATATAATTTTCATGAAAATTATCAAGAGAACTTTTATTTTAAATTAAAATTTATTCCATCACAAAAAAAAAAAAAGAAATTCTTCGATATTTAACGTCTCGAACCACAATGAGCACAATATCTTGCTGAAGCATTATTAAATATACTACCACATTCACCACAACGAACAGCTGTTGGAGGTGGTGGTCGTCCAACAGCTGTTGGTCTCATTGTATTATATTGATTATTGCGATACTGATATCTTGTTTCACCATATGAAGAAGGAGCAGGTTTTGTCGGTGATGCTCGACGCGTATATGAACTAACTTCATCATTTCGTTGACGAGCCCGTACATTTAAACTTGTATTTTCTTGTGTACGTCCCGTACGCATAAGTACCGGTTGTTGAACAGAATGACGATTCGATGGTTGATAATAATCTTCATCCTATATTGTACAAAAATTCATAAAAAATAATGTATTTGTTTTGTTCTTTTTAATATAGTAGAATAACTTACTTCAGATGCATAATAATTAGATCGAGGTGTTCGTTCTGGTTGAGAATCGAAACCAAATACTTTTCGCAAGCTCCAACCACCACCACCACCACTATTAGCAGGTTGTTTACGGGGTGGTGGTGGCGGCGGTAGTGGTTGTTGTTGACGATAACTTGAATATTAAAATAAATTTAAAGAAAAAAAATTGTTTCATAAGCTTACTCATGTGGATTTCGACGAGCAATCATAGGAGCTGAATTGCTATGTTTGTGACCATTACTATAAACATCATGTGAACTTGAATATGCACTTGTACTATATGACTGTTGTTGTTGTCGATATTGAGATGGTTTTTGTGGTGGAAGTGTTCGTCCCTAGATAGGACACAATTTTCAATAAATATAATTTTTTTTTGAACACTATCTCTACCCTGTCATATTGCTGAGTAGATCTAGAAGGTTGTACTTGTCTTCGACCATGTTGAGTCTGACAACTAAATAAATATATATATATGTATGTTACTAAGAAGATAAAAAAAAGAACTATTATTATTACAATGGTATATGTCGTTGTGCGACATGTTGATTGAAATTGCGATGGCAATATGGACAATTAACATAATCTTAATGAATAATATAATAATGAGAAAAAAAGAAAAGAATAATATTAATTAACCTGATGGAACTTCACTTGGTCGAAAAGCAGGCAATGGTGCTCCTTGCTTCATAGCACGAGTTACGGAACGTGCCTCTCTTATAGATTGAATTAATTGTCGATGTTTTTCTCTCCAATTTGGTTTCTGTCCATATTTTGACTAGAGGGTTTTTTTTTACAAGATACAAACATCAACTATTCTTTTATTCCTACCCTATCATCCTGAGCTCGAACTTCACCAGTATAAACCTAATTTGTAAAATATAGATGCTAACAATCGTACAGAAAAAGAAAAACAATTAAACTTTTACCTGCTGCGTTTTTTTAGTTGCTTTGTATGGTACATCAGAATTAGTAGCTCGTTGTTTACCTGCATCAAATATTCTTCGTTGTTTATTTGCAACTTTTCGACAAATAGCCTGATGCTTATTCTATGATTGCAAAAAATATACATAAAAATCAATATTTTATTTTCTGTAATTCTATTGAAATTTCTACTGAATTGAAATAAGATTTTAATAATATGAATAAAATAAAATTCAATTATTTTTCTTTTTGCTACTCTGGGATACCTATAGAACATTTAAATTAAACAATAATATTTCATAGTCTCACCAATGACTCAACATTAAATTGACGTCCACAAAATTGACATGGTTGTAAACGTACTCGACGTATAGGATATTCTATCCAGTAAATAGTAGAACTCGTACGATATATATTTATTTCATATTCAATTCTTTACCTGTCAAATCATCATCCATTTTTTAAAATGAAATATATAGATGTGAATGATTTTTGCTATGACATGCATATGCATGAAGTAAAAAAAAAAAAAGAAAAAAGTGATCGACCAAAAAAAAAAAAAAGAAAAAAAACTTCTTCTATGGCAACAATAACATCAAAATGACAGAACAGATCGAAAGTTATTTCTGCCCTTTTTTGTCGTTTTAAAAAAAAGAGAACAAAACGATGCCGATTAAAATTTTGGTACAAAAAAAAAAAGTACTTCAACATAAATCGTCATCGATGAAGTGTTTATGTGATTTAAATTTATAAATTGACTCATTGAACATAAAGATCATATGACATGGAAACACTTGATCATGAACATTTATTTTTCAGTTAAAATTTTACTTTTACTTTTCCTTTTTTTTTGTTATTAACTTTGAAAAAAACATAGATGTCGATTATTTGACTACATTAAATATCCTCATGAAAGAAACAAGAGAATTTGACATGAAAAATAAATTCTTGATGTACCAACAGAATTTGCTATGAAGATATCATCAGAGTTTCATGTATGATCAAATAATTTTATTTGTTGCAAGTAATGAAAAAACAAAAACACATTTTGAAATTTTTTATCAACCTTTCAATTATTTTTTTTTTTATCAGATTTTAAAAACTTCAATCAAACAAGAAATTTATTTATTCGAAAATGCACAAAAAAAAAATCGATATATAATCAAACATTTTTACTATAGATTTTCGAAAGACATTGATCTAATGTCATATTCTATTCTTTGGCTATGATTATATTGTATAAAGAAAAAAAAAAAAATACCCATGAGATTAGAATTATTATCAATCAATAAATAAATTCTAAAATATTTTATTATCGTCGAATAATTAGACGTAAAAGGTAGAAGACATTGAATCTAGTGTTAATAATATATATTCAGAACACTAAATCAAAGGTCTTCCAAATGAACGTCATTTAGATTTAAAACTAAAATAAAACCATTGACTTACATTTAAATCATATAAGTGAGTTTATTTTCTTATCATTATTCCCATGAGAAAGACGTTAATGATGCTGATTGAGGCTCAACAGCAGCTTGTTACCGAGAGTGAAATATATGTGTATGTGTGGAAAAGAAAAAAAGAAAAAAGAAAAGGTAGAATTTATGCAAATTTTCATCTTTTTAAACTAACTCGTCATTAATCATTACTGATGATGGTTGGACCGACAGTAGAACAATCTAATAAAAAAGAAAGAGTCAGTATTGTCACGGCTGAATCGCGTTTATCTTTATTTTTCTTTTGCATACCCACATTCAATATAATTAAATCGTGTTTTTTTTTCACTTACTTGAAATGAAAAAAAAAATGTAGTGGAAAAAAGCTTTTCTTTTTTTCTTATTATTCGTTTGTTTCTAAGTGTCGTATAACACGATAATCGTACTGTGTAAAGTTCATCATCAATACTGGTCTTCGTTTTCTTTTCTTTCTTTTTTTTTTTTTTTGCTTGTGACGTTTTTTTCCCTTTGCTCTAGTGAACGATGACGAGAACCAAGCGTTTCACTCTGCTTTCTTCTCATTCTTTCTTATGGCTTCTTCTTAGTGTGAGTCTAATCTTTATTCTGAACGCTTTTTTTTTTCTTTCTTCTTTTCTTCTTATATCTTTACTTTTATATAGATACTTACGTTGACAAGATGCATTCAAGTTTCTAAACTATTTAGTGATATGTTGAACTAGTATAAATAAATAAACTTACTTGCTTTTATTCGAATGGTTACATCTACTTCATTTTGTTCCTCTTAAATGAATGAATTTGACATTCATTCTATCTAGTCTATTATTCTCACTTTTTTTTTGCTTTCTCTCATTTTTTCTATGTCTTAAAAAAAATGTGAGAGAGTATCTACACAACAGTGACACGTACTCAACAGTTAAAACAAGAGAGAGAGAGCGCGATGGATGGATAGTTAGTCTGTGGTAGAATGTCGTCGACGAGGAGAGAAAAACTTTTTTTCCCTAGTGCATAAAATGAGTATATGAATGTAGTAAAAAAAAAAAAAAAAAGGGGAAAAAGAGAGAGAGAGAGTAAGCGTCTTCTTTGTTTTATAAAGAGAAAAAAGTGAGAAGTAAAATGAGATCAAATGAAATCTATCTATATGTTGTCAAATGTTTAGATAAATAGACTAGTCTGCCTATTTCTGTTAATAATTGATCGTTGTCACTAACAGGTGTATGAACATTCATTTTGTCGTTCTGTCATGTTTGTTGTCAAATTTTATATGAGTTATAATTCTTATCAGTGTTTCTGTTTTTTCCTTCTTTCAACTCAAATAATCTAAAAGAGACATATGCCCACAGCTGGTTATCTTTATCGCGTAGTTCTTTTTTTTTTTTTTACCAACCAAAGCTTTAACGGAACTAACTTTAAATATCACATTTAGCTAGTCATTTGAGATCTAATAACATTAAAATGAAAGATAGATTGAATAAATGTTGTCATCCGTCTATGTGTTTTTTTTGTTGTTATTCATATATTTACTTAAACATCTGTCTATGTATGTAACTTGAATATGCGTTGATTTTATTCTTGCAAACAAACACAAATAGATACAAAAGAAAAACAAAGAAATTTGAATTACAAAAAAAAAAAATAGATTAAAAAACTATAATCGAATAGATTTATTTATTTATTTCAAAAATCATTTACTTTTATACTCATTTTTTCAATAAGAAAAGAAATCAAACATAACCACTATTAGGAATATTGCCAAGTGTTGGATACACTCCACTATTTCCATACGATGGAGTAGTATTGCTATTATTATTCGCATTATTAATTAAATGACGTTTGCTTGGTGGTATAAGATGATCAGGCAATGTATTTGGTAATTCATGACCATCAATTTTAATTTTAACTAAAAGAGAAACAAAAAAAAATAGATATTCATCATTCTTAAAATCAATTAAATATTTTATGTAAAGAAATTGCATTTCAATACCAAAAAAGTACCAGTGTTCAATTTTCATGATTGATTAATAAACTTTATGTGTTAGTTTTTTTGTTTGTTTGTTATAATATATGATAGTTAAGGATAGATTAGATATTCCTACTTTATTTCACGTCGACATACTTGTAAAGAAAAAAGGAAATGTTGGAGATGAATTGTTTTCTATTCACTTTTTTTTTACGCATCGTCACATTTAACAATTAACTCTTCTTTTCATTACAAGTATTAGACTTATGTAAGCTGAAAAAAGATATTTACTAAAATCTTTGTGTTTTAAATAAAATGAGCTGCTTTCAATTTCATAATAATATATGAGAATTAATACTCATGCAAAATTCTAAGTAGAATTCATCATAGATATTTTCTCTTATTTTACATGATTAAGATCAAATATGATTATTTAAAACTTACTAAGATGTTGAGATAAAGCCCATTCATCAATATCAAGCATACCATCTTTATCAATATCACTTAATTTCCATATACGACCAAGTACATTATTTGGCTATTAAAAAGAAAAATAAAAAGAAAATTTTTTTTATATGAAAAAAAATTTACAAGTTTGGATTTAATCATTTCTTGTCTAGCTGATGCACCACTAATTTTTCCATTTTGTGGTGAAAGTTGTACAAATACTTGATCATATTCATGTCTTGATCGTTCAACAATCCATTCATATTCACCAATACCAGCATTTATACCTTCAACACCACCTATTGCAAATGGTGTTTCTTGTTGATCACTAAATATTGTATTTCCTGATAACATTTGTCCCGTTGATGATTGTGTCTGTAATTGTAAATAAGCATGTTCTTCTTGTGGTATCATAGACATTAATTTTGGTACATCTTCAGATAACATTCTATCGACACGTTCAAGTAATTTTCGATCAAGTGGTCGAAATTTTGTAAAATCCTAAATGAAGAAAAAAAAATAATTAAATTAAATTCGAAAACAAATAAATTTTCAAACGAACCATATTACGTAATATTTCTTGCATACGATCTAATTTAGGAAAATCACCTAATGGAATATTTTGTTCCCGTTCAATTTTTTCATAAATTAAATGTAAATTCTAAAAGATGTAATTTAAAACTAATATATATTTAGTAATAAAAAAGAATATTACATTAAGTAATTCTCGCTGTTTTGCATCTTTACCAAATACACTTGGCATTTTTTCTTTTAATTCACTGATAATTAATGCATGTACCTATGATATAACAAATCTAAGTATTTAGTATTTTAAAATAATAATTCATTACTCGAGCCAATCGTGCACGTTTAATTAAATCATTCAATTTTCGTAGAGTTGCTGTTCTTGGTAAAGATTCTAAAAAACAAAAAAAATACGAAAAAACTTTCGCTTGTATTTTCTGTATTTATTTTGATTTAAATTATTTTCTTTTCAGTTCAAATCGATTTAAGCATGAGAATGACCGCTCATGGATAGTCAATCTAACAGAATATTCCTTTGACGTTCAGTTTTACAATTTCATTATATAATTAACTATGTGATATGTTTTCAGCAGAAGAATAGGGGAGACTTGAGTCAAAAATTAACGAACAAATGATTCGGAACTAATTATCGCCTTTGTTTAATGTCAGCTAAAACTAATGGTTAAGGCTTTTAGTTACAGTTGGAGTTACTGAATGAAGTAAATATTTTTTTTAGTATTGCTTTATTATGAATGAAATAAAGTTACTTCGATTGAGAACTACTAATGTTTTGTTCGAAAATCGTTCCATCTATGATATTTATTCTAGTCCATTCTAGAAATGTGCAGATAACCTTTTTTCGTATCAGTGCTCTATTCAGCGTAGGAACCAATTGGAATATTTATGCATGATTCTGTTCACTAAAAACAGAGGTAGCTCTTAGTATAGAATAGGAGATTTCAGAGCGATGATCAAAACTTGTATCCTAATTCCAAAAAAATAATTTTTGGATCTATAAGTGTAGTTCTTTTCTGTAGTATAGATCAATGTTTCAAAACTATGGAAATAATTG